GGAGTTTACAGTAAAAAAAGGTACTTGTGGCGGAGTTTACATGCGCCCAAATCATCATAACTTGCTGCAAAATTAAAATATCGAAAAAAAATCACTTGAAAACATAGTTAATATTTTAATTTTTCAAATCTAATAACAAGTCAATTCACTCTATGATTAAATAAAAAAATTTCATAAACTCTAGAACACACATTTGATGTCGAGTATTCGTTAAGTTGTTTATGCAGCATCACATATGGGTGTGAGCGTCCTCTTATGATGAAATTAATAGAAAATAGTACGAATAATTATAGTAATATAAGCAAACACGGAAGAGGGAACTATGACAGGAGTCTTCGATTGGGTTGTGCTCTGCGTATGCACAAACACACAGGCATGCACACGAGCAATATTCATAATAACGTGGCCCCGGGGTGAAAAACCAATTGCGAACGAAACGTATTTTATATTATTATTATTATTATTAAATTGCGTGTAATGCGCGTATGTTGCAGTTGTACAGTCTGCGGGGTCTGATGCAGGGCAGCAAGAAGAACCAAGGAATGGCACCGCTGGGCAACAATTTCCGACCACCTCAGCCGCTTCACAATCGACTGGTGCGCACCAATATCGATTTCAACCTGAGAAAGGTACTATAATTTATACTACTTACGCGATATATTAATTTTATTCTGATGATAAACCAACACACACGTCACGCGTGATGGGGGGGGAGGGGAAATCGATTTGGTTTGTGTAAGCGAGAGGTAGATGAATGTAAACATGTAATCGATATAAATTACAAATTTCAAAGCAGGTAAAAATGTTTTCCCACGAAATAACGGTGGGTGGGTGGGTAGGTAGGTTGAGTGGTTGAAAGCATTCCACATGTTTGGGTTATTCAAAGGCAAACGCAAACTTTCACGGCCAGCTCCCTGCAACGCCACCCACATACCTGTGTATTAGAATATAATATATAACATTATAATATAACACATTCCATAGTAATATTATAAACATCACATGATAATATTATTATTATTATTATATTACTATTACTATTACTATTACTATTACTATTACTATTACTTCTACTACATTGCACGTTCTCCGAGATTTTCTCCATAACTTTCTAGCAAACACTCGGCCAACTATGATTTACGTCAAACAATTATTATTTTGTATATTGATTAGATAATAAATATTATTTTCCTTTACGAAACTACATCTCRGACCGAGATGTATTAGATACGACCAATATTAAAGTCGTTCACGTTACGACCATAATAATGTATAGGCAGCAGTCGTCCAATAATCATACCCCTATATGACAATTGATGATATTTTTCACATAGTTAAATGATGACGGAGAATTATTTTTAGATTTTTAAATTATATTTTTAAATTATATTTTTATTGAATTTTGCGGCTCAAAGGGAGTAAAAATGAAAAATTTGGACTACTTACTTGGAGTGTACTGATTTGGTTAGCTGGTGGTAGATCCCTACTTGGACCGTTAAAATKTTGGACTAATTGAATAAAATTTGAATGGTTTAATGAAAGTATACATACTTAAGTGTTTTCAAGAATGTAACTTGGGAGTAAAAAGAAAAATGGAAGAAATACCAAAAATAAAAACTATATACTTGAATTTTATTACTTGCCCAACATTTGAACATCTCATTTKAAACCTCCACTAATGGATACTTCGGAATAGCAAACATCGTTTTTCGGGGAAAAATTACTAAACCATTTGAAGAATATCAAGACACAATTTCAACGACTGAGAGTGTYCGATATTTGGAGATTTTACCGTAATATTATTGTTTCGCTGCCATACTAGATATTAATAGGTCATCGACCCTTAACTCAAACACTGAGGAACGTCATTAGAAACGTTTAGTTTATTTGTATACCGTCAGACATAATATAATATTTTTAGACTGACCATCTACCCAAGTATTATAATTTAATAAATATAATATATGTATCATCGCGCTTCCTCGCTGACCGAATAAATAAAAAACATTTTCGTTTGACGACGACTTTAATGGATTGCGCTCTTGTTTTTTTCTTTTATTTATTTACTCATTTATTAACTATTTCTTTCTTTTTGAATTACAGGACGATGAAAAATATTGCCCGAGCATGCACAAAGACGTATACTACAAGGGTAAGTGCGTAGTACCTATTAATTGCCGGTTATCTGTTTGTCACGATTTATTTATTCGTTTAACGGACGAGYGAGTGCGGAGGACGAATAGCACGCCGCAGTCCTTTTTATTATAATTTTATTCGTTTATACTCGCGTACTACTACCGCAGTTACCACTATTATAATACCAGTCTACAACTGCAATTATAATAATATGAATAMATATATTATAATAGTATTACCTACGCAACGCGCATTACCGAAGCCGCCCGCATGCACTTCCGACGACCATCCAACCGGCGATGTTCGCGTTGGTAGAAACTAGAAGGTCACGTGTTCGTAGTAATTTATTGAACGCTCCTCTATTTTTAGCCGCCGCGAACACATTTCAGGCTTGCACATACCCTGCTCGATATTATAATATTTTACWTAGAATTTTGTTTTGTTTCAGCCAATGACTGGAAACCTCACTAATAACGTACCTTTCTACGTATAAACAACACGCGGCGGCAACTGCCATCCCCATCATCGTCGTCGTCGTCACTCGCTCGTATAGAAACAACACCTAATACACTATCATCGAGTAAACTGGATGACAACGACGACGACATTCCAGTATATATCATGTTATGATATTATTATTATTATATTAATATTGTGTAAAATAAATTATTTAATTAAGTATAAAAATAACAGATAAAAAACAAATGGCACGCCAGAAAAAAAATGACCGACTCAAAAAACCATCTCTCTGTCTCTTTCTCGCCCTTCTATTTCTATTTWACTCTTTACCTCTATCTCTCTTTCTATCTCTCTGGATTGATTAATTTTTGAGCTGGAGCTCACGCGTCTTGTTCCGTTAGGCGCAACCCCGGGTACGGTGTAATRATAATAACGTTATTCGTTCCGTCTTCAGTCTGTTTCGTCGTTTCGATGAGAGTCGTAATATTAACTAATAATAATAATCTTGTAGATATGAAATGCATGATRTCTTATCTATTTTATARAGGGAAAAATCTCAACGCTGCTTTGCTCGAAAATCAGGATTACTAACGAACATTATGCCCATATACTACCGGATCGTGAGAGAGAACAAACAAAAACCTTGGGTCGGTTTTTTTTTTTGCGTTTTTCCTATATTTTTTTTTTCTTCGGGTATAATAGTTTTATTAATAATATATATACATGTCTTCGGCTCGATATCGAGAGGTTCTTGGATACGGAATCTTTCACAACGAGCGCGTTTCAATAGTTTAACTTTTTAATGTTACTACAGTTAAATAGGAAAAAACAAACGTACGCAAAAACTCTCGAACGAAACAATAATATGCATTTAGTTCAGCCAATACAATTTAAAAAGTTGTACCCACCTATCCACCGACATTGCCTACCTGCCTGTTCTGTASCATATACGCTTGCCACCGACGACGAGGACAACGACTTACAATTAATAAGAATCACACTCGGTTTTTTCGGTTTATATTACTTCCAATACTTCCGCTCGAATCGTATTTCCTAACACAATTTCATATGTCAGCGCATAATAGAATCAATAAAAATTGAGAAATCACGCATTACAAAACGCAATTACGTTTTTTTAGATACATTTTTTCTAGCGAAAGCGCCACATAATATAGTTCAAATTAATTACCGCGTGACGGGCGTGAGTCAAACGTCTTAACTTTTTTTTATCCTGTACTTTATTATAATCTACAATAATAATATAATATCGGCAGATGAGTTTATTATTTCATAAGATAAATTATATCGAACGCTTGTTTTTTTTTGCAAAATCACGTTAATCTTAATAAAATCCACGTTACATAAAAATTAATAATATGAAATTCTTATAATATCAAAAGAATTAAATTTTAATAATCAAATATTATATTATATCATTACAATATCGTAGAAGCATACAAAACATAGAAGTGCCAGTTTAKCTGATATTAATAACAATAATCTGGTCACGCATTTTAACGGTCYGTGTTCATTACAATAACACCATGTTTATGATAGTTATTGTTCATGACTCAGGAGGTACATAATTCTATTAGAYAGAAACATAAAATAAATTARTAAAATGACATTCCGATCGCGAGTCTACTTTTAAACTACGAAATTGGATTTCTACATTACTATACCTACTCATCTACGGAGTTCTACGAGATTTTAGAACCTGTTGATATCGAGCTGATTTTGCACTGCGTTAAAAAAAAAACAACATAATCATMTCTCGTACATATTATACGCGAATACATTACACATATCTCTATGATTGTAATAATTTATATATTCATATGTAAACAGTTATTTCAGAGCACTCTTAATTTTGACTGAAATTCAATTAAAACGTACTATTATTTTGCTAGCAACTTGTTTTTATTGTAATATTTTCGTAATAATACATAAAATCATACATATACATTATGCATATTATTATTATTATATGGATGTCAGTAGTGCGTCAAGGTTCCTACAATACGTTGTTATCATTATTAGTGTATTAATAAACCTTTGACTAAGTGTTTTTTGATTTTGTGTTAATTATATTTATTTACCTATATTAATTAGTTATGATATAACATTTTGTGCGTGTCTATGAAAAATCACTGTACGAATAATGATATTGATTATAATTTTTCTATGGCTGTTTAGTAGAGGATTAAAAAAAAAAAATTATTCCCACAGCCAATGGATGACATAACATAACACTTTCATATTTAAATTGGCTAACATAAAAATAATGTTTTGATTAGTATAAAACATAATTATATTGAATTGACTATAAAAAAAATATTTTAATTTAGATTCGTTAAATTTATTTAACAAATACCAAATATATATAGATACCTACGCAAATAAACTTGTATTTACAATGTATTTAGTACTGCATAAGTTAAAAATGCATTTCCCCATTTTAATAATAACCGATGGTTGAATAATACATAGTTCAATAATTATGTAAACACAACTTTTTTATTAATAATATATTATACGCTATGATGGAATTATGTCAAATCTGATACCTAACTAATAACTATGATAGTCGTATTATTTAAACTTTTTTTGTCCATACGCATTTCATCAAAAAGTACCTATTATTACGAGAGCATCATCGTGCTATGAAAATCCGACTAAAATAGTATATTATAAATATTGTTTACAACCATATATTTCAAATGTCCAATGTTAATTATATCATCGTGACAAAAATTCATGAACAGAGTTTGTGGCTAAATAAAAGGCCAAAGAGAATAGTATATTGTTTTAAACATCAACACAGTTTTGAAGTGATAGCGTCGTATGACGTATGCTCGATTGTCTTAGACGAAAATTGCTCGAAACATGTTTTTTGAAATGTAATTTCGTATGGTAAAATATGTTTGAAAAATGCGAGAAGAAAAAAACGCAAAAATACACATACGCATTGAATAAATAGAAAAAATACGCGTTCAGTAAATAAGTCTTGGGTGCGTGACAGATAAAATATTCGCGTGGAGAGCGAAAAATCCGGTGTGAATGAATGGGGAACATTTGACATAAAAATGCAAAGGTGTCGAGTGGAAGAAAAAAACGAAAGAATTCTAGTTTATCTGTGATAACAAATCATAACGAGAAGGCTGGTATAAAACAAGATTTCAACTACTTTGGATTTCTTTAAGTTCTACCTGAGAATTACGCAAACATAAATCGTTGCGGAAACAGATTTTTTTCTCCGTCATTTCTCATACACAGAATAGGATCATTCAATTTATACATATATATATAGCTTTAAACAACTTACTTGTGTTTTTTACAGGGCTTTTTGTTTTTTTACTATTTTACGACGATATAATAATATATAATAACCTAGATAAAGTAAGTATTCATGTTGAAAATAATACACGATGTAGAATAGGTATTTAAAATATCGTAGAAACGCAATTAATATCTTGAACAAACCTTTTGATAGATTGTTGAATTGTATTTAAAAACCATCAAAAATCTTTTTAAAAAATTAAATGTTACGTTAAGATCGATAATGATTCATAATTATATTCAAAATTTATAAGTTTATTGAAATCAAAAAAAAAAAATTAAATCGTTAATATACTATATCAAGATAATAATAATTTTATGTTTTTTGGAAACAAAATCGATTTGGGATTTTTAAATATAAAAACTCAACAATTATTGTCAACAAGTCATGATATATTTTATAACTAGGTAATAAGTCTTTTTTTTTAATTTATAAGCCATATAAAACAAATATACTTATACCAAATCTAGCTAGTAAAAATTGAAAATAATATAATAAATATATAAAATCATAAAATGTAAAGTAATGTTAAAAATTAGAATTAAAATGGAAATACACTAAAATGTAATCAATAATACAAATTATAATATTAATATATTATTTAGGATTTTAAATCAGAAAATACTAAATATATCACTAGGTGAAATTGAAAATTTTTACTTCGATTTCAAACCCCGTGGATCAATAATAGTGACCTAAACGTTTAAATTTAAGCGATTACTTGCTTATTTAGTTTAAAGCTTATCTATTATATGTATATACATCTATATATTTTTACGTAGTCCTACGAAATAAACGTAAGAACAGGTATGAATAATATATGTTTACAAAGCGTAATTGAAGGTCTCAGTTACTTATATTTATATTTTAAATTGAATGAATTTGGCACTTTGGTTTTTCAATTTAATTGATATTATACCTAATCGTTTACCATTACGATAGTTTTCAGCGATCAATAGACGATTTGAAAAAACATCGCCTGTGTCTTATAAGAATTTTAGGAACGGAAAATTAGCTGATTCTGAAAATAATATTATTTTTACGCATTAATGGTGGACGATAAGAAAAAGAAACTTTTTCAGTAAATATAATGAATAATGATAATATAATAGCTATTATGCATATTCTGCAGAATCTGTAAGGTGAGTTTTAGGGATGAGAAATACACAACTTTTTTAAACTAATTTACTTATTTAATAATATAACACGTTGTTTTTCGTTTAAAATTATTATGCTTAAGCTTGAATATTATTATTCCATATTCATAATAATATGTAATGATAAATAATGATTAAACAATACTTATTAATTACAACACTCCAATGACTGCAACTATATGGTGATAACATGTATTGATTTATTTCAGTTGAATTATTTTAGGGGTAGAAGAATTTCAACCATTAGCTTATATTATTTAGACACAAAACTAAAAAAGGTAATAATATTAATTAGAAATATTTTACGCTAATGCACGCATACATGCATCACTATTGCCTATCTAATGCGCCGTCAGATACAAATGCTAAATATCAATATATTATGTCATTATTTAAATAATAATTGTTCATTATGAATAAAAGTAATATGAATAAAATAAAAGAGTCAGACATGTAATTATAATTATATTGACAATATTAGAACTAAACAGATAAATTAATAATACAAATAAATAGCTAAACAATTATTTTTTTCATTTTTGAAACTGTAGTTMCGCTATAATAATCTAAACGCAATTTATTGTAATATTAGATTAATTCAAAATTCAAAATTAATTAATTCTTCAAAAACTTTAGTATGACAATTAAATATTTTATAATAATACACACTACAGACATTAAGTCACCTATAGTCAAGTAAATCATTTCT